GATCAAGTGCCCTACTAAAACAGATATTAACCTAGATGATTATAATTTGTTTATGTGTATCAAGTCAGCGGTTCTACATTTGAAAAATGTAGAGTTATTGTTAAGTAATTCTATTATAATTTTTTAATTTATATATCAAGATATTCCTCCGAAGTTTTAATGAATGGGTATGTTTACAGTCGATAAAAGGTGTCAAAATAATATTTCAACCACGCTAATTTATGTTTAACTTCCAGGGTATTAATTTTTCCCAAACATTTAAAACTCCTTAATTGCAAAATAATATTATATGCATGAAAACCGCAACTAAAACACATAAAAGGACATATATAATTAGGAACACAATGCAATGCATGTAAAACACTTAATATGGATAGATTATAAAACCAGTGAAATAATAGATTTTTGAAAGCGAAGGACATGCAAATGCGTAATTTTCAAGGAAAAGAATTGAAAAAAAGGGTGGGAAGAAATGGACTACAATTGCATCACTATAAAAGGCAATAAAAAAAGACTGAATAAAGCACCACTGAAAACGGAAATGGAAACTGTGCGAAATTCCCAAATGGCCTGACTAATCATTGCTATACTCATAGAGACGAACTTAAGGACAGACGAATAAAAGCAGAGCAAAAATGGAATTTACAAACTACAAATAAGTGAGAAATGAAAAAAAAATTAAACAAATGAAAATAAACAATAATAAAAATAAGAGTAGCTAATAAAAGTCAGAGTCAAACACATCGAATCACTTCAATAAAGTGGCCTTTAGACATCAACGCGCGTTGACAAACACACGAAGTCTTCTCTCTCCATTGCACATTAAATTTACCAACAATTTTTTAAACACGCCTCCAGCAAACAATGCAAAATTTGTGCACTCATCAGTATTAAAGCAATCGCTGAAGTGTCGACAGCGGCTGCTATGCGTAATTTCCTTACGAAAAATGATGACATTTAATTTATAATTTTAATTTATATATTTATATTTATTTTTATGATTTCAATTTATATATTTATTTTTATATATATTATATTTTATATAATTTAATTTTTTTTTTTGGTATTTTTTAATAACAAATTTTCCGTAGGTGCACAATGCAATTAATATTTAAAACAAAATTTTTATTGTAATTTAATGTTTGGTTATTTTTTTTTAGCCCAAGGTTATTAATATTTTATTTCTCCTTAATAAAATGTTTTGGAAATTAAAAAATTTTACCTAGGTAGAAAATACAAATATTTAAAATAAAAGATACAATTCATTCATATTTGCAAACCATCGCATGCTAACGACAAATCATGCGTGCATTTAAACGATGTTTATCCTTCTACTTCTCAAAATAAATAAAATTTTGCATGCCGACCAAATCCGACTGTATATGCAAAAACACGATCGTGGTTGAAGAAATATCAAAATTTTTTGATTTTCGTCAACGCATTTTTTAAAATTTCAAATGTTACTATTACACAAACAAATTTCGCATTTCACAAAGTAGGAGAAAAGTAGGAGAAAAAAATTCTCATGTGAGAGCGATTTTTTAGTATATTTGTTATTTTATCTGGGGCGTGTTTAAAAAATGTTTAAAAAATTGTTTGTGTAATGGCAAGCGCGCGTTGACAACGAACGTTGCTGTCTAATGGGCCCTTAAGAGCTAAAATAGCATTTATATGCCAGGATTCTACTTGCAGAAAGGATAATGCACAATAATTGCGCGTCTGATTGCTATACGCGAGGAAGGAGCAAAAAGTTTGTAGTTGCATATAGAAAAAAATAAAAAAAGAAATAAAAAAAAAAATAAAAAAAAAAATAAAAAAACAAAACATAAAATTAAAAAGCCATTACAAGTGTTTCGCATGAGCAAAACTATAGAAAAAACACAGGATATATATCCTGTATCTCGTTAACTTTACAAGCAAATTGCAAAATGTACAATAATTGAATCAGTTTTCCTCTTGAAGTTTACACAACTTTTTCGAGTTCTGCTCTTTGGACTGCCCTCACGTATTGTCTTCGTACTTCTCAATGCTTGAAATTGTTTTTATTCCTTTTGTGTTTTTAATTTTGAAGCAAATCCTTGCAGTCTACATGGTTCAGAGCCAGGACTATGACAGTTGTAGCAAATGCTGTGTGTGTCCTTTAAGTTTTGAGCTACTCGTTTTTGTTTTTAAGTATTGTTAATGTATCGTTTCAATTGTTGTTTTGAAATTGTTTTTTATATCCTATCTTTCCCATATAAAAGGAAACAATTTTATAGATTTTTATTTAATAATGATCATTTTTAATGATTTAATAGAGTTCGTGAAAGTAATAAAAAATGGTATAGCAGAAGTCAAGGTGGTGGACTAATGCATGGTTTTTTTTTTTTGTCAGCCTTGATTAAGAAAAAGCATTTGATGCAGTATGGATTAAGAGGCTGATCTCAAAACAATTTTGGTAATACTGATTTACTAAGCAAAAATTATTTTTAGGATCTTTAAAAAATGAATCAATTCCAAGTTAACTTGAACATTTGCAAGATTGTCGCTGTTTTGCACGGTTAGGTTTCGGGTCTCTATTCTTTAACATCTATACGACTATAACAAGTAACTATGTTATGCTGATGATTGTGGGATGTACTATATCAGTTGAAAAGTCCCAACGTTGACATAGATGAAAATAGGTTGGCATTATTTATATATATTATCAATATACATAATCAATATACATAATCAATATATATAATCAATACGTATAATCAATATATATATATTATCAAGAACCCAAACACCAAAAGTTCCGAGTGGAAGGTGGCAAATAACTGAAAATCTGAAAACTTTGATTTAGAGAAGACAAAAGTGAAAAGCATAACTCACAAAAAATTCACTCCAGAGATCTGAACAATTCTAGTAAGAGACTAAACCAAAATGGATGTCACAGAACAATGGAACATCGTCACACAACTCTTTCCTCGAAGCGGTAATTTTTCGTTCGGTAATAGTAAAATTGTCACATAGCGTTTAATGAGGTTAGTAAAGTGTTTGTTCAATTACTTTTGTCAAGTTTTTTTACTTAGAATTCTAAAAAAACGTGATCATTTTTACGCACCTCTCCTTAAATTAAAATTTCGGACACTTTTTGCAGAGAAAACCTATAAAATTGGAATAACAAATTGAAATTTTTTTACTTTAGTGCAATGATAGTACGAAAATCATATTTGAGGATCTTATAGACAATGGTCTATTGGACAATGAATAATGGACTAATAATCTTATATAAAAATAAGAAATTTTCAAATAGACATTTTAAAAACTCTTTGTTAACTTAAGAGCAAATTTGACAATATAAATGTACGTTTAATGCTCAATTTAAAATAACAAAAATGAGGTAGAGCAAATGTTTTGTAGTACTTAAGTACTGTACTCACTACAATTAAACTGTGATTTAAACATGCGTTTGGTAAATCAACTTAGTTGAATACTTTACTGCACAGCATTGAACATTAATAATATATTTTTAATAGTGATGATATTATACTGTTACCTAAAAAATCTCGAAGCCTATACTTTAATAGACTGCAAACAAAAATAATAAGTGCTACAAGATATCACAAGTCCGTCGGAAGTAAAATGTGTCTAAGTAAATATATACAGAGTTGATACAGTGTCATATAATTGATTTTACAAACATACTAAATAATTTATTACTAAGCATACAAAGTCTTTAAAATTTTTAGTTATTAATTTTAAATACTTACTATAAATTTTATATGATTAATCTAATTAATATGATTGAATTAAATATCGTTAATAATTCTATTTTATATGATTTAAGTAATGAAATTTAATTAATAATTCTATTTCATATAACTTAATAATATAATAAAAAAACTTAAAATATAAAAGATAATTAATTATTAAACAACATGGTGTTCATTAATATACTTCATAATATGTTTGCTACTATAGAGCATAACACTGTCTTCATTACCGAACATATTAAGCATTTACACTATCAACAACCATGGTTGCGCTACTGCCGATGCTTACTCACCACGTAAATAGGCAAACCTTATATTTTTGTATGAGGCCAGTATAAAATTACATCAAACGCATACTAAGCCAATCACATATTTCAAGTAAAAAAAGGACAAAAAAAAAATCTATGCATCACCTTTAATATACTTTCATTAACCCTCGCATACAAAGATATATAGGAGTGTGCAATAACAAACAATAATAGAATAAGTGTTGTTGCTGTCTGTCTGTCCACTCAGTACCAAAAAACTTTATTCCGTTTTTAGCTCCCTTCGTATGCATGAACAAGGAGTTATGCGTACATTTGCTCTGAGATTAGAGTTTCTTCTATATACATGAAATAAATAGTTCAGACATGTATAGACATGTTTGTCACATTGCGTATACATTTTCAGAATTCAAGATTTTTCTAACAGAGTCAAAGGGCATGTCATTATATTTTCATGTTTTTGATAAGTATACTGAATGAGAATTATATTTTATTTTTTATCACATATTAATTTTTGTAATTTATAGAAATTTAATAAACAAATATTATAAAATTTTATAATTTTGTAACATTGTAGTGTAGATTTGACACTTTGACAGCGGCTTAAAGTGTAAAAATTTATAATACAATTACCTCGGACGTGACAGAATTGAAGAACTGGTCGATTATGTTCCATTGTGGAATATTTTTGGAACTATTAAATGCCTTATAATAGATTATACGAGCAATTATTGGATCGTAAAATCATTACGTTGCATTATTGCATTACTTTTCAAAACTTTACTGCAGCTTCTAAGTAATTTCCTTTTTTTTTTAAAATAAATTTTTCCATAAATTTGATCATTAAATTTACTTTCTATAATCCACAGCTACAATAATAGTCAATGAGTAGAGTCCTTATTTGGGCAACCTCGCGTCTCCTAATACAGTCTTCTGTCAGTACAACAAAGCAAGCAATTAAAGATTGAAAAACAATTAATACAAATCAATTCCTTTATTCTTTTAAGATTTGTTTAACAATTTTATTTTTTAACATTATTTCTTTTGACAACACCTTGCCAAAACCCCCCCTCTGCTCATCATAGTTAGTACGGAGTTCATCACGTACTTGACCGCCAGTCTTACCTCGACCATATTGACGGCCCTCAACAAACCCAGTATCCCAATCAACTGTAATAACTCGATCATCCAGGCGCGTACTGTTTAGATAGCTAGAAAAAGGAATAAGTTATAGCTATAAGCTAAGCATTAATATCGTAAAATATCATACCGCATTGCATCCTCCGCTTCCGAACGTTGATCATATTCCACGAAGCAGAATCCGCAAGGTGTTAATTTAAATTTGTCTAGACCCATAACTAAGTTACTTATTTCCCCACAACGTGAAAACAATTCATATACTTGTGACTCTGTTGTGGAAAATGACATATTTCCTATATAAAGGGTTTTTGACATTTTTAATACCCGTTGGCGGTCTTCATCAGTTCCCTTGACAGCCAAATTATTAATCATAGATGTTTAATTAACAAATATACTACTTACCTTGAAATGTGGATCACGATACGGATGAAAATATATTTTAGACATAATTCACTTTTTTATTTTAATCAGACTTTGGCAAAAATGTTTAAAAAAAACTCAGACACAATTATTGTCAACGAATGAACTTCCAAAATGTTGTGGACTGATAATTAAATTTAATTTAATAAGTGACTTTTTAGATTACTTAAAGATTTAAAAAGCGAAATCAACTGGTTTTTTACTGCTTTTAGAATTTTTAATGAAGAAACTCAATAGAATTATACTCTTAACCAAAAAACACCTGAACCTGGTAAAATAAAAATACTTCAAATATTAAATTTTTCGTAAATAAAAATGGCAAATGTCAAAAGCTGCTTCTGATTCTATTTAGGTCTGTTCACTACTTTCATTGAGTATGTTCAGTGTTTTATTCTTACAAAATCTGCCAAGCGGTTTAATAGGAATAAATTTGGCATTGCAATAAATCTGCAACAACAATTGCATGGCATTTATTGCCATTTGTTTTTATATTAATAAAATTTATTGGAATTAATGCCATTAATTGCAATTGATGATGCAGTTTGAACGGGCTATTAGGCGGATGAGTAATGACTGTGTTGAATGAAAAAACCCTCCAAAAGTTTTTAATAAAAAAATTTCTGAAATTATGCAGCAAAATATATTCGCAATATTAAAATTTCATTATGACAAAAAAAATAAAATATTAAAAATAAATTTTACAAAAATTATGAGTAAATATTCGGAACATTTACTAAAAGATATTAACTTTGAAAAAAGATATTAAAAGATATTAACAAAAGTTCCCGATATGTAAAATGCAACGAAACTAAAATAAAAAAGTATTTGGTGGACTAAAAACGGGTAAACGTCTTTATTTATTTTTGAGATAAAACAATTTTGTTGCCTTTGATGCTCTTGATCAATATCAAAAATATATACCTATGACTTTATTCGATTTCCATTCAACTCCATTTTCATTCCCCTGACCGATGATGTGACTACTTAGAAACGCAACAACATTTGAGGAATACCTAATTAATGAAAGTTCTAGTAAGTTCAACTTAAATTGATTATGAAGCTTACAAAATCTATTTGTCTTGATTTTATAAACCCAAAATCAAATGCAGATGTCTAAAAGAAAAGTTCTATATTGTCTATCTTTTTTATTTTAAAAATGAAACAGTGTGGTTTCAAACAGTAGTGATTTTGCAACAACAAAATTCTATTATTTTTAATTCATTGAATTTTTGGCTGACAATACAGCTGTTTCGAGTATTGCCAAAAATAGTTCTTAGATGAGGTTCTTTACACAAGAAAGAATTAAATAAAATCATGCATCATGCAATAAATAATGCAACCACAAAGGATTACTATTAAAGTTTAACAATTAAATATAAAAATATAATTAATTAATTCAATTATTCAACAAAAGCAATTGAATTTTTTAATGAACTTTCACAAAATATTAGCAAAACTCCAAGTCAGAACATAAAAGTCAGGTATGGCTTTGGATCAGTTGGTTAAGGTGCGCTGACTCTGAGCTTCAAATTTGGCAGGACAAAAGTTCGATTCCTGATACTTGCAGTCTCATAAAATAAATTATTTACGAATATAATTAAATATAAGAAATAATTATAAGACCACTTTTGATTGACAATACTCATACCAGCTATATGGTCAGCCAGAAATTCAATTAATTAAAAATAATAATATTTTGTTGCTGTAATTCACTGCTATTTGAATATATGGCAATTTTAATTAATAAAAAATTATTTAAATTTATTTAATATCATTATTAATATCATTATTAATATCATTATTATGATAAATTTAATATCATAACAATAGCACGTTTACACTACTGCAATTAATTCAAAATATTAACATAATATTTAATAAAAATTAAATCACAGAAATGCTTTCATTAGAGTAGGTCAATAGCACGTTTACACTACTGCAATTAATTCAAAATATTAATATAATATTTAATAAAACTTAAATTACAAAAATGATTTCATTAGAGTAGGTCAATAACACGTTTACACTGCCGCAATTAATGAAATATATTAATGTAATATTAAATAAAATCTTGTTCAATATTAAATATTAGAAATTTTTTCTAAATATTAGATTTTAAAATACATATAGAGCATTCATTCATCGTAAAGTTAGGAAGGATTCCCTCCTTCAGGTGTCCTAAATATTTCATTAAAAAATGAGAGACGGTGTGAATTATAATTAAACCATAATTGTTTTATATAAAGTACTTGCATACAATTAATTACACTTTAATTACAACAAATCTATTACTAACTATATACTTTTAATTGAAGTAAAATAGCTCCGCCTAAATCATATTTCCTATCTTAAATAATTAATGACTCAAGTTATCAGCGCCATTTAGAAATGAATTACTGCGTCGAGAGTGAGACAGTGAGTTTTATAAAAATTCAATAAGTGAATTGATACACGGACGGCAGGGCAATTAAAGCTGGCATTTCCATTTGTTGACTGGCAAGACAGAGCAGGGCAGGACAATAAGGACAATAATTACTTTATGATGGATTTGTTAAGTGCACATTAAGCACCGTGCATGGAATTATAATTGGACGACTATCGAGTGCGGTAAAAATTAATAATTGAAAATACACTAAAAGTCTTAACGTTATGACATATCGTAAAAAGGATAATAAAGGATTTAAGTAACTGATAGATGGAGAAGCTAATTAAAATCGTACGAGTTCGAAATAATGTCAAACAAGAAACAGAAATGAATTATTGATCAATAAAAATACATAAACAAAATTTAATTGTGGCATTTTATGAAGGAATTTGAGGAAAGGAAAAACCTGTAAGTAAATTGTATGAGTTTCATGTGCTGTAATTATTATAAAAGCCACTAAAGTCAAGACACACAGAAATGTCAGCGTAATCATAAAATAATTATGAATACAATTTATACAATAATTTGTATGAGACTTGGGTGCGAGGACAAACAAATGAAGGGTTAAGTGCACACTTGGGCAATCACGGCACATAAAAGAAAAATCCAACTCACAAATGGCCATTTTTTGGTTAATAAGCAATTTGAACTTAATTGAGTGAGAAGTATTGCCAGATTGTTATAAAAAAAATATGTAGGCAAATTTTGAAAGTTTTGACTAATTAATTATTGAGTTTTCTTAACACCGAGGACATAAAATTATTAATTTCAATCTTTTTTTCTTTTTAAATTAATTGGATCTTACCACTGTTTGGACCATACCACTGTTTTAGGTAATGTCAAACCATCATCAGTGGGATTAATACAAGTGAAAAAGAGACAAAGAATTTTGATTGTAATTTTTGCTGTCAATTCAAGTTATTCTTGATCAGTGCGATTCACACGAGTGAGAGAGAGAGATAGAGAGAGAATTTCGATTGTAATCTTAGCTGTAATTTCAAATTATTCTTGATCATACCACTGCTTCAGATAATGTCATATTATAATCAGTGGGATTCACACGAGTAAGAGAGAGAATTTTGATTGTAATCTTAGATGTCATTTCAAATTATTCTTGATCATGCCACTGTTTCAGATAATGTCATATTATAATCAGTGGGATTCACACGAGAGAGACGAAAGATTTTGATTGTAATTCTAGCTGTAATTTGAAATTATTTTTGATTTCGATACCAAAACAAGTTCAAATCAACAAGATTTGTATTTGTATTTTGACAGCTGATAATAGAATTGAATCATCATTTCAACAAAATAAATTTGATTTTAGCTTTGACAGTTCACTGTAGTACTGTATTGTGCAGTACAAACTTTTACTATTGTGAATAGTTTTGAGGAATGAATGAAATTTTCATACAAAATGAAACAGAACTGTACTTTATTATAATAGTAGGTAGTTAAAAAGTGTTGACATGTGATAAATGTGTCAATAAAATTAGAATAAAAATCGTGTGAATCTATATTTTCGCTTTTTAATCTTAGGTGTCAGTTTAAAATTTTTGATAGTTAAAATTACAATAAAAAATCTTTTTTGAATTCAGTATAAAAAGAATGATTTGGACACAGAAATTCAGTTGCGTTATAAACATGTTTTACAAACTTCAAAGTATTTTAAAAATCAATTGCTTTTGCCGAAGAAATAGTTAGCGTAATGGTATATCAAGACTAACGAACAAAAATGCTAGTATGCAACGATTACTATTAATAAAGGTACTTCATCGACAATTACATTAAACAACATTATTAAACCTCAAACAGTTGACGTTCCCAATTTAAAAATGCATTTCGATAGCAGGTAAGATGGCATTAGCAAAGTGAAGAAAGTAGTTCAAAACGAACTGCAAGCTATTAAGCTACACTGTCTTCTCAAAAACCAATCTCCTTTAAGATTAGACTATATAGTTCTCTTATATTTTGTAATAGAATCAGTAAACCAATTGAACAAATAGGCTTCAACTGCATAACAATGCAAATACATCAATCATTGCAATCTTCTAAAGACTCAGTCAAATATATTAAGAATACTCTCAGAAGCATCAGAGAGTACAGTAGAAATGAGAAAATTTATAAAGATCTTCAAATTTCTATGGTAAAATCAAAATTAATAAAAATTGAAGACATTTAAAAACTATATGTACACTTCACACCTTTCGCCAGAAAACTTGTTCTCAAGACTAAATATACAAGCCTTTGAAAATTAAACAGTTCCACCATAAATCAAAACTAAAAGTACCTTATTTTTTATTATTAGTGTTATTGCTACTAATTTTTTCCTACTACTATATATATACTATACCATTTTCCCTTCTTCATATAATACCTAAACCAATGTTTTGAATTACAATACGAATACTTGGATTAGGATATAGATTTGGAAGAGAATAAGTAAGAAGAAGAAGGGTTGTTTAAGAATGGAAACAATGGATGATAAGATTTAATTAAAACTAGCTCAATTCAAGTAATTTCAAAAGTGGTATAGATTTGAGAGGTCAAAATGCTTTAAATGGTTGTGTGTAATGTGACATGGCAACAAATACAGTTGAGG